CAATTCAACCATCTCTTTATTTCTACTGCATTCCAAGTGTTATTAGTTGATTTAATGTAATAATTTTGATGCTAAAAATGAAAACAACAACAACAACAGCAACAACCTAAAATTTTTATAGTAATCAGTAAAATGGAAAACAATCTAAAAACATGATTTAGATGCTTGTCTTGATTAAGCTCCGAAGATATCAATTCAATGATTTATTTTATTAGATTTTTGTAATAATAATGAATAATGAAATTTAGTTGTTTTTTCAAGTAATAATCTTTGTATTTCTTTTTTTTATAGTTTTCGATGATCCAAAAATTACTTTTGTGGCGAATAGGAAAAACATCTAACAAATAGTCAGATAATGTAATATATTTATGCGGATAATAGTCTTAGTCACGATAAGAAATCGATATCGTTGTTGAATAGAAAAATATATGTTTTGTGTGTTGCTCTAATGAATGGATATACCATGTTGAGACTAAATAAAAAAAAAATCTATTGGTTTTAAAAATCTGTTATTGTCGTATATTGAATTTTAAAATCATTTTTTTGATCAGATGATTAGAATTTCACAATAACGAGTGAATATTGAATATTGCTTTTTATGGAAAAAACATAAATTTTTGTGTGCATTCAAGAAATTCTATGGCTTGAATCGACAACAATTGTGTCTACAAATTATAATCTAATTAAATATTAAAGCGTTTGAATAAATAAACGATTCACATGTTGCATACATTGAATATTGTGTTTGCCATATGGAAATTTGAATCAAGGATATATGACGAGAAAAACGTGAAAATGATATAAAAATCATCAAATGTAACTGTGAAATCATTGCCATAATTTGACAGTGTGTACAAGGAAACTCGTTGGATTGTTTTATAAGTCAAAACACATAGTTGCTCAGAGTTAAATACGGCATAAATCCTGACATAGTTATGAAAATACATTTCAAATCATTTCATTTCATGTTCGTTTAGTAAAACTAATCAAAATATAATAAATCACGCATAAAAATGCGAAAACTTTAACTTGGTGAATAAGCGATTGAATTTTATTATTTTTTTACTGGACTTCAAATGAAGGTGATTTTCCTCCGTAAATTTTATGACTTTCGGAAAATTCCAATGATTCGCTGAATCGATAAACTCGGTAAATTTTGTTGTAGCTTAAAATACAGCTTTTTTACGTATAGTATATTACTATAACCTTCCTCTAATGTCTATCAAGAACCGTTTTTCTCTCTTCTTTTTATTTAAATGGTAATTATTTGAAAGAAAGTTGAGAATTTTTAACCTACTTTGATTCCTTATGTGTTATTTTTAATTCCATTGTAATCTTATGAATATATATTTATGCAAACGCTATAAATACAATTCACATAGCTTATTTTTCGGTCATATGACATTAATTTTGCTAGGGTTTACCTGAAATGTGTATGGAAGTTCTTAAAAGAAAACACTAAGATTATCTGAAAACGTATATTTTTATATTTAACATATGTATTAATTATTTATCGTGAGTAAGATTATCATTCAAGTTTATATATTAGATTATTCGTGCATTAGTGGAAAAAAGGGTGTGTTTGTTGAGTATCCTGGTTAGTAAGAACACGCAGCGAAAACAAGAAAGTCATCTGACATAATTAGTCTTTATTTGGTCGTACCAGATTACGTGCTGAAGACATTATAGTTGAAAGGAACAAATAATAGAGTAACTGTGAAACATAGGATAGAAAATTTTTAAGAAACAATCATTTTTGGAAAAAGATGGGAAAACGTTAAGGTGTAAAGTTTTGTTGAAATATGGTTGTTGAATATATATATATATATATATATAGGCTACCGAATACAACCTTCTGTCAATCAAGATATAGAAAAGTAAACTATTTCGGTTTCTCTCCACTCTGTGATGTCGTTCACTTGACATTAGCTTAATTTTTTCTTGTTATTAGGCATGAAACATGAAATCTCATCATCCGGCAATGAGGAATAAACTCGATTTATTAATCATTTATGTATTTAAAGAAAACATATAATCGGGATGTTTTTCAAATGAAAACATTTAAAACATCCGTTAATTGATTTGGTTATCATGTTATTCATTTGCATGAAAAGCAGTTTCAAAGAAAGCATTGCCACACATAATTGATACCTGTAAAAACAAAAGTAAACAATTTACAAAAGAAAATTTCATTCCTTTGCTTAATTATCTATCCATTGATTTATTTGTTTTGACATTAATAATAATAATAATAAATTTTTAAATATTACATGGTTCATCTATTATGTAAATTTTTTAAATAGAAAATGACTGAAACGATAATGAACGATTTAATGAAATTAATTCAATTTGTTTTCTTATTATCATAAAAAGAAGATTCATTTTCTAAATTCTTGAAATGAATGTCGTTTAAATAAATATATATGACAGTTTATTAATAAACGAAAAAAATTCACATCTGGAGTAATTTTGTACATGTTTGGTAAACCAGTATGTCTGTCTTAATGCTTGAGTTGGCGCGTATGATAAGTTTCCATTAAACGCAACTACAATTGTCGCTGATGACGAAATTTGTACGACTGTGAATTGAAAGGAATTTAAGAAAAACAGTTAAATATTTAGCTAAATTAAGATTGTCTTCGATTTCACTTTTGTATAAAACTGGAAAGTTTTTGTAGAATAAAATGTTGCATGTTTGCGATATCACGCTCTAAAATACATTTGGCTGATCATTGAGCTAATGGTTTTATGATTGTCATGTATTGAGAGTTTATTATGGAATTTATTGACATACTTCTTTAAAATACGATATTCAAAAATCATTGATGGATAAACATATCTACATTTTATTAAAGCTGCTTTCGTAAACCGCATATGTTTCTCTATTCACGGAATGATTTACATATAGTGATCATTTAATCTAACAATTATGGTTTGGAATGAAATTCATTGTTTGAAATTATCTCATATAAACGGCAATCATCAAAGATCATATATTCTCTGTTGCTTAGTAGGCGAATGACGCTGATACTGATGTATTAACCTTGATATTCATCTTAAGTATAGACAGTTTATTAAAACTGAAAAAGTAAAAGTTCATTTATTTTAAAACGAACTAAAATCTTTAATTTGGACTGAGTTCTTACTTTTATGTACATTTGATTTATTATTTTTGTGGACGTTAGATCCCCAGAACTCACTTGGAAAAGGTCCTAATTTTTCAATTTATTTCTCAAATTTTGAATTCCTTGTTTTCGGGCCAAAAACACTCAGCTGACCTTCAGCTTGCGTTTCTCACCCAGAAATCCTTGACTGTCATCGGTTGATGGATTATTTTAGTACTCTATTTTGTGGCTATCCCAGGAGCGTTTTATCACTGTATAAATAAGCTTGAGTTGTGTGCCTGTGGATCTCGTATTTTCTGGGTGCCTGCGAAATACATTCTCTCTACGTCTTAGCAAGATTTCTTCCTCAAGTTAGCGGAGCCTGGGACAATCGGATTAAATTAGCTTATTGTGTCACTGTATCGTTGATCTTCGTTCCGTTTACCTGGTCAGGTGAACTCGTAACAGCTGCTAGCATACCAGTTATTTAGCTAACAAAAGATTTAAATCCTGGTTTAAAATTGATCATTTTTCAAACGTTTTGTATCATTTGGTTAATACTGATCACAGGATATCAGTTATTGAATTATTTTATTTTTGAATAGTTAACCAGTTATTTGTTGATAATGAACAAAGATGAGAATAATTGAAGACTGAAAAATATCAGTTAGTAGTTTTATTTACTTAAAGGGATTACTTTCTATGATTTTTATGGTCATTCATTTATAAGTGCAAAATTTAGGTAAATCGTAATGTGACATTAACATTAGCAGCACATATGTGAGCCGATACTACTCGACAAAGTAGTCAGCGAAACGTTTGTCACTTCAATTCAGACTATTGTTATTTATTATATGCTATTAAGGTATTTGGTGCATAAAGTGCAAATTTTTCACGCGAAGAATTATCTAGTTTGATTCATCCAAAATTTTTTTATCATCACATTGCATCAAATAAACCGGGCTGAAGGAATATATACCAAACAGTTTTTATGTATAAATCATTGTATTTTGAATGATGACATAATGACTTTCGGAGGAACATTAGCCTGCATATGCATTCATTGTGGCTCCTTCATTTCGGATAGTTGAAAAGAAAATATTCAAACATAATTTAATACCGTCTTACTGCTAAGTTAACCAAAATAATGCTGATACTTGGTAAACGTTCAATTGTCTGTTCCATATAATCCAAAAAATCAGTACATTTGATGTTTAAAATGTTTATAAATTATCAGTATCCTAAATTAGAATATTGTATTTGAATAATTTCAGTGACTGAAATCTATATATAACTTCAACGTTTCATCCAGTCTGGTCTGAAATTATGATTATTACTTTAAACACTTAATATGTCTTCTGTTTACTCCGTAGGCGATTTTTGTTAAACAGTTTGTTTGCATTTCGAAATATATGTTCATAAAAGTTAGTTTATACTTAACTTGAACCATCAATATACTGTCTTAGGAAAGCTTAATTTCCTAGCTTTCACTGTGTATTCCGTTATAATCGAGAATATATATAAAAAGTGATACAAAATTTGTCTTACTGTTCAATTTAAAAAAATCTTCAGAACTACATCATATTTGATTACGCTTACAGTGAAACGTATGAAAGTTACAAAATTATTTTGAGATCTATATATATATATATATATATATATATATATATATATATATATATATATATATATATATATATATATATATATATATATATATATACATTTCGAATTTAGGTTGTCAAATCAAAAACGAGTTGCATTAAGCTAAATAACACACAAATTACTAACAGATAATTATTTAGCATATTGGAATTTGGGGTTAAGAGTAAAATTCGAGATGTTTATCATATTGAGTTCAAGTTGCAACTTTCTTCACTTGGCTTGTCTTCACATATGACTCCAGCTCGACGCCAAGTTGAATCAGTTTCTCCGGTTTCTGTTGATGGAGAGTCTACTTCTAGTGGTGGTTGCGGTGCTGGGGGAGGATGTACTCGCACTGCAGTTAGTCCACAGTCGTTCGTCAGCGGAAGCAATAAGTCTTTATCAAACGAAATTTGGTCAGCGGTTGGTTTGGATTCGTCTGAAGTTGAAGTTTTGGCTATAGGACCAGATGGACCACCTGTTTCAGCATTCCCTGTCAATTATAATGTATCACGTGAAGAATCTGGGAGTGGGAGTGGAAATCCTTCCCCCGTATCCCATTACACTGGTCATAACCAACCTCTACATTTTCGTCTTACGCATCATGAAAGTTCTGTGCTGGCTTTAGGGTTTGAACATCATGCATACTGGTTCATTACAACAGGTAAAGATCATCAAATTTATGCTTGGCGAACTCCATATGGTGCCTGTCTGCTGGAAACGAAAGAAGCTGCATCATTTCTAACATGTGACATATCTTTGGATAATAAATTTATGGTTACCGGTTCCGGAGATAAACATGCGAATTTGTATGAGGATATCTTCACTTCTCAACGATAAAACGATAACATTCCTTGGATTTTCGTTTGCAGAAGTGGTAAGACGTTTGTTCTTAGATCCGGTACCAATGCATTGAGCCTGTTATCTTCCTGCTAAAACTCATCCCCAGGTGAGAGGAAATTTATTACTCTTAATGTTAACGGAGACTTGTGTAGATTGCAAATAGATACCGCATCTGATGTCACCATACTCTCATCGAAACAAATCAGCTGAATGGGTATGCATTTCAAGGTTGACGTTCACATTGACACTTGAATGTAATATTTTAAGCTTAGAACACTGAACCCGATATCCACTAGACTGCTACTTTTAGATACTCATTACCTGGCTTAATGAGAATAACGCTTTCATGAATTTTATTTAGATTCTGAGTTGTCTTGTTGTCACTTTAATTCACAAATTTTTAAAATAAAAATAGATATTTTAACTCTGTACAATGTTTAATTGTTCTTATTCCAGTACACACGAATATTAAACAATGAAACAAAATAATGATTTACTGAAGTATGCGGTACCAAGGTACATTAGATAATCTAGTCTAAACATTCAAATAAACTTTTGTTACACGATAGCTTTTATAGTACACGTAGATTTTTATAAGTAAAAACAATAATTATTATAAATTGATGATATTTGTGCAAATAAATCAGTCGCTTATAAGTCATAAGATTTTGTGGCTATCACTCTTACAATTGGTTTGATATGTCAAAATATCCTTTATATGCACTTACTGATTTGCATATTTCAAGAACTTATACACGCTTTTTTTTCTGACTCTGTTACTTTCTTTTGTGATTGTTTATAGTTTGACATTTGCTGTGAAATACTTTGTCTTTTTATTGTTTATCATGTTTCAAATGATTTATTATCAAAATTTTATCTGCCTAATATAACCAAAGATTAAATAAATATAAATATATTAGAAAACCATTCTAGCGTGAACATATTTTATGGTTCAATCAATTTTTGATTGCATTGGCAAATCTTTTAAAATTTTGATTATCAAATGAAATCTACTGAATTTATACTGAATAGATCGTTTTATTAAATTGAACAAAGTTTTATACGTAATTTAGCTCGAATTCGCAACAATTTAGGTAAAGGAAATTAAGGTAAAGTAAATAAACCTTATTTTATTTTTAAAAAAATTGTATTCGTAAAGTTTATTGTTAATTAGGCTATTTACATTTATTATGGAAGTTTTTGTAGGAAATTTAAAGCGTAACTATATGTAAACATAACATTACCGGCATCATTTTTTTAAAAAATATTAGATTTTCCACTATTATTTGTATAGATTCATATGAACTTTCGACTACTAGTTGCGTATAACGAATAAATAAGTAGATTTATTATATACATTTGATAAACTGTTCTGAAGTTATGTTGACTATTTCAAAGAAGATGGTGTTGTATGATGCAGCATAAGTCTAACAGTGAATCAAACTCACGTGTTAGGCTATTATCATTTTAAGAAGTGGTACCGGTTATGTAAGCCGAACAAATTATTTGTGGCACTTAAGTAACCTAATGAATTAGGATTCCTACAGAAAGGTTACTTTAAGGCATATTATTTTACTAAAGTTGCACAAATAACCATAGTTTTTGAATAAACTAAGAGGAAGCATAGGCAAGAAGCCATCAATGAGGATTTGTTGACACCTAATAATAACTCAAATGTACAAAAGGTAATACCCCTTTTCAATAAATGCATCGAAGTATCTCACAGTGCAATTGTAACATACATTTTGCATAATCATAAACAATAATAAATGACTTATCAGAGGCATATTCGAGAACAGTAAAAATGATGAATGTTCAAAAGTGGTGTATATGACAAGTAACTCAATCAAACCTGTTTCTTTCATTTTTCTAAAAATTAGTAAGCCTATTAACTCCATCAAGTCCACACGCAATAGTGGAGTAGACACGATTTTGCTTCAAATATGGTGGATTTTTATATATCACTGCACTCTTTCTGAAGTCTGGCACTTACCCTGATTGTTGGAAAACCTCGTACGTCATACCACGATGCTAAACTATTGATAAAGATGATTTGAACAGTTATCGGTGCATTATTATATAACTAATTATCCCGAGGATAAGAGAAATAAATTATTGACGACCAACCTTTTAGCTATTTATTCAGTGAGAAACTTATCATTGAAACCAAACATGGACTCCTTAAAACTTGATTTTGTATGACCTGAAACTTTGACTTATTCAGTTTAGTCTTTAATCAAGGTAACTGAAGACACCTAATCTCAGTTCTACATTCTAGGGCGTTTGACACTGTTAACTAATGGTTGCTTATGAGTAAGCTCACATCCTGCAGGGGTCAGAAACTTTCAGCTTGCTTAGCTAAGTTCTTTTCTCGGTCACGGACGGCAAGTATTTTAACTAATCCCTCCTTATTGGAGGCTGTATCAATCAAAATTGGAGTAATACAAGGATTTACTTTAATAATCTTATACCCGATTTGGACCTCACTACGTTTATTCATAGTGTGCTCCAAAACGATAAATTAAGGCTAAAATCCGTCCATAGACGGTCCATGCTTCACAGTTTTGAAAATGACTACACTTTAAATTCTAATATCAGCTATAAAATACTTAAACTCATTTCTTCATTGAAAACGAGATTTAAACTAGTTCTTACTTTTTTCTTTAAAATACTTAATAATTTTAATAATTTTCAGGTCTCTGGAATAGTGAAACACATCTTTTCCCATGAAACAAAACAACTCTTACTCTTTGTTAGCTGCATCGATGCAAACTTCTCCCGTGAAAGAGCCTTAAATGGGCTTGCATCCTTAAGTATATCCTACTAGATAAGTGGAATTTTAAGCAGTTTAGATATTTTATCATTTTCGTTATTGAGCCCACTCGGTAGATCTCCCAACCTGAAGATGTTTTGTATTAACACCGTCCCTCACGAACCAAATAATAAAATAAACTATCATTTGAATCATGATAGATATGACTGATCTATCGTTGTGATTATCACTTTCGTTGTTTCATGCTCTCCGTTTCTTTTTTATTTATTTTAGTTGTAGATGAATATAACTAATCCGATATGGAGCTCGAAACTCCATGTAATGCTTTTTTTATATAGCAACACTTAAAAAGAACTAATAGCTCCTAACTAATGCCTTGCATTCATGAAGTATATTTGAAAAATGCACTCTCTAAACAGTTTTCGAACTAGAACACTTCATACAATTTACGTATCTATCCTCAACATTTAAAATCACTGTCAAAATACTATACTGCTCATGTCTATAGACCAGCATGAATTCTGTAATTATTATTATTATTAATTTACATATTAACGGTTCTATAGTGTTCATCAACAAGTTTTGTTTAGATACTAATTTTTTTCTAGACAATGAATACTTTTATAATGAATGGGCTGATCAGATTAATTACTTGATAAATGACTAGAATGTAGCTTTTATCTGATGCGACATAAATAATTAACTATTAAGTCACACAATTACATTGCTAGCTCAAATTAGTCAAACCTAATGTACTACCCTTAGAAATGTATCATTTATAGTACAGAAAAAAATGGTTGTAATTTATTAACTGAAGGCAGGTGAAAGTCATTAATTAATCAATTAAAATCCTAATCATCTAGTTTATCCGACCACCATGTAGCAATCGATTCTAAATGAAATATGCTTTACTTAATACAGCAGAATATTCAGTAATTAATTGAAGCATAAACAAGATATTCTACTCAGTTTGTTAGATAATCATTCAGTTGATTTTAAAAAAAGGTCTAAATGATTCAGAAGGTCTCCAATGAAGTAAGTATGGACAAAATCATTCAAAAAAGCGTGATCAGTTATTTTTAGTTTAAGAAAGAAATAAGAAGTTATTATATATTGAAATCATAGATTTTGCATTAGAATATTCATATTTGAAATGGTATTCCTAGTTTCAAAGTCACATAAGTTATACAATACATAAAGTCAAATAAACAAGATGAAATCGGATGGTAAACGTTTTCATACTGCTTCACTGGTAATAATCTTAATGTGTAAAAAGTGAATTCATCCATATGAGAAAAAAAACTGCAACTGTTTAGATGCATAGTTAGTTTAATCAATACCTTTTAAATTGCACACTTTTCATCTTGCGTGACTTGTTTCAATCAGTGGAGTACAGTTTGGTTTTCATACAAGAAATAACATTTCTCATTCATATAGCGTAATTAGATTTGGTGCTTGAGAGAACTACTATCCTCTGCACCAGCTATTGCCAATGTAAACGACTGGGTGCAGCTCTGTTCACATTATACTGATTCTATGCTTATACGTGACTAAACGTTTGCGACTACCGTAATTTTTAAGCACAGTGTTTCTATGATATCTTTGTCTAGTTGTAAATATGAAATTAATAGCTATTAGACCATATACATAGTAATTTATAGCATAAGATAAATAATGGTCTTCGTTTATGTTAGAACGGTTATTATTTTCAGTCCTGTTTCTCAAAAAAAATAATTTTGGAAATTTTATCATATCAGGATCACCAATAAACGTTTAGTGCTTATTAGTACTATTATTTTTATTTTGTTTTAGTTGGAAAAGTAATAAAACACATTTAATTCAATTTGCAAAAGTTTATTTGATTATCTTATCGTTAACATTTATATCTGGATTTTAATAAGACCTAGCTGGCATATGTGAATCCTGTTACTCGTTTTTATAGGATAGATAGAATAGGATTAGCAGTGAAATAAAAGAAATGACGAACAAGTTGAATCAGAGGTTAATACGTGACGAACAAGCAGACAAACATCATAGCCTTTTATTTGAATCCAGTTTGAATTTTTTGCTGACAATGACATTGATATCTCACGTATCCTCGTGAAAATTTGTTGACCTAAATTATGTTAGTGAATAACAGGATAAATCAAATCTGAGAAGGCTTTTTGTATGTATGGATTTGGAATACTCGTTACCGCAGACCGGATAACTCAAACGAATCAAT